ACCACCGCATTGTTGAACATAGTGGATGATATTCTGAGGGCATCTGATAATGGAAAGGTAACTGTGCTGTGCTTGCTTGACTATTCTAAAGCCTTTGATAGAATGAATCACAAAATGTTGTTTTCAATACTAAATCATATAGGACTAGATAACACTAGTCTACAAAAATTCATAAAATGTACATTTAACGCCACTGTAGTTTTCTTATGTAGTTTGGTCCCCTAAACCAAAAAATTACATTTAAAATTTTTTCTATGGATACGTTTTGGAGCTATGATCTTTTTTTTTTAGGGGTAATTTGACTATTTGCAGCATATCTCGAGTTAGAGATGACCGATCTGGTCGTGCTATTCATCAAATTAAAGAGTATTGTATGGCCAATAAATGATATTAATACTTATTCCAATCGGTTCGGTGGTTTTAAAACAATGGCCCATAATGTTTAAAAAAGTGGAGAGAAAATTCTGTTTACCTTCTACGTAAAGTTTGCTCCTTTTAAAAGACAACAAGGTACGCAGGATGAGAATCGGTGGAGAAATTACCAAAAATTATGATCTTCTATATGTGAGAGCACAGCTTTTTCTTGTACATGAAATTCCGCGCAACTAGACCGTTAGAAATTTTTCGATTTCGTGTTTCTGAGATTTTACGTGTAGGAGCTATTCATCCCAATCTTTCGATTTAAAACAATTTCAAGATGGCTGCCACATCCAGTGTACCGGAAGTAGCCTACAACTTCGTTATTTTAAACGGAATGCTGCAATTTTTATTGGATATTTGAATTGCAAAACAATTTTTTTTAATCAAAAATCACAATACAAAATGCACTCAAACGCCTTCGAGTACATAGGGTTTGTACTTTTACAATAGGAAGATGCCCAGGTTTTTCCTTTTTCTATATTTTTCGGTATTCCTTACGTATATTGCCGTTTTACTCAGTGAATTAAGTTTACCTGAATAAAGGATATTTGAGGTACCAGTGCATTTTATTATTCTTGGAAAACTATCGGTTTTAGAACAAAGGATCTTCGTATACAGGTTTGTCCCATCTTTTTTTGCCTACTTGAACAATATTAAAATAAATACATTTCTCGTGGACAAATGAAAAGGTTTTTTCCCGGAATGTTAAGAAAAAAGTGAGCATCATAAAAACCCCCACTGTACCGTTAAGGGAAGGTTTCGTGGAGAGTAAAATTGCTAAAATTATTTATTCGACTTCCATATTCAGCGTTAAACAGTTATTCACAAATTGTATCTTGTAATATAGTTTAATTGTATACTTGATTATAAAATGAGTAAAAGACAACGAGCTTTTGAGAGTGAAAACGACCCCCTTAATTTCTGTTATGTGTGTGATGAATATGTGAAGAAAAACATGCGTAAATTTACTAATTCGGTACAAGAAAATTATCTCCAATATTTTGGAATAGCAATTGATAATCTTCAAAAACATTATTTCATGTTAAAAATACTTTATAGTTTATTACTTTTTTTAACGTTAGGTGGTACATGCAATTTGGCGTACCAATGATTTGAAGAGAACCACTTTGTTATACAACCGACTGCTACTTTTGCCTAAGTAAACAAACCGGAATTGGAAAAAATTTGCAATGGGTTTATACAAATGTACCATCTGTCATGTTTCTAGTTCCGCATTCAGGTACACTTCCCATCCCCAACTGCCCTGATTTATCTCAGTCCCAAACTTCCATTATATCTCAGTCCTCAAGTACTGATACGTATTCAGATTTCCAAAGTGATTTAACTGAATGTCAAGGACAGCATGAACAACATCTTCTAACACAGAAAGAACTGAAGATTGGGTGAGAGATTTGGAGCTTTCAAAGGAGAAAGCAGAATTACATGCATCTCGTATGAAGCAATATCACTTTTTGGATACGAGTGTTAAAGTAACGTATTACAGAGACCGTATACACAAAGTATTATATGTCAACTGATAACATATGCTTTTGCAAAGACATTCCCGGTTTGTTCGAGGAGCTTGGCCAACCTTATAATGAGCAGTAGTGGCGGTTATTTATTGATAGCAATAAAAGTAGTTTGAAAGCAGTTCTCTTACATAATGGAAATGAGAAACCATCAATTCCGATCGCGCATGCTGTAAATACCAAAGAATCGTACGAAACAATGGTTAAACTATTAAAATCTCTTAATTACGAAGACCATGAATGGAAAGTTTGTGCCGATTTAAAACTCACAGGCGTGTTGTGTGGTTTAGAAAGCGGCTACATGAAATATTGTTGTTTCCTTTGTCTTTGGAACAAGGAATGGTCTGAAAGAAAAAGCCACACCCTGGGCGAGGGCAACATTAAATATCCTTCTACCACCATTACATATTAAACTTAGACTCTTCAAAAATTTTGTGAAAGCGCTGGAACCTTATTTGAAAATCTTTCATTCGCAAAAATCAAGGAAAGTGTTTTCAAGGGTCCACAAATAAAAAAACTTTTAAAAGATGACAAATTTCAAACCTATTTATCATCTGCCTGGAATTCGTTTCAGTTAATTGTTTCTGATTTTCTTGGAAACAATAAAAGCGCGAATTACGAGACAATTGTTGAAAATTTTCTTCAGAATTATGCAATAATGGGTATAGATCATTATTATTATTATTATTATTCCGGGTATCCGTAAAGTACCGGCATCCCAGCAGGTTCCGAGTTAAGAGACATTTAGATTCAGAATAAAAAAGCAATGAAGGAATGACACGTTTTTTATTCTGAATTTAATTTCGATGTACATTTCAAAAGGTACGGGGATGCAGGCAGTTTACAAATACACGTTATTACATTATTTTCAGTTATATGTTTAATTTTATTTTAATTTTTTCCAACAGGTGTAAATATGTCTAAAAATTCCACCAACAAATGAAGAACATTGAGCGGCGTTATCAGGGAATTTGGGATGAAAGAAAGATGGGAGACTATATCTGGTTCCTCATAAGAGAGACAAACTTATTTCTAAGACTTAATAGGCCTTAATCTAGGCATACTATTTTATTAATACCTAAATGTTACAATCAAAATAAACTGAATGAATCACTGTATTTCGTTGTTTTTGAGAAAAATCACAGAAATAGAAAAAGCTCTTCAAGTCAAAAGCACTTTGACCCACAAATGATCATAATTTCGATATTTCTCTATAGGCTTTGGTCGTAAATACTGTCTTCCTATTGTAAAAGTACAAACTGTATGTAAAAAATAAGACGGAATTTTTGCGGTTCTCTTTTTGCGAGTGAATTTTGATCAAACAAAACTGTTTTTCAATTCAAATATCCAATAAAAATTGTACCATTCCGTTTAAAATAACAAAGTTGTAGGCTACTTCCGGTACACTGGATGTAGTAGCCATCTTGAAATTATTTTAAATCGAAATTTTAACGCTTGCTTTTGTTACTTGTTCTAACGTTTACATAAATAAACATGTTTTTCAACATAAAAGTTGATTTTTCTAGAAAACGGTCAACTTTAGAGCTCATTACCTTCAGTACCTTTTTTATGTACAAAACATTGACTGTTCAAATGACCGTCTCAAAACTGTATTTTTCCAGTGGCGTAGAAGTTGGGGATAAAAACAACCACTACCCCAAAATCTGTACCAATTATGACTTTAAAAAATTTTTTTCTCGCTCAAAACTTAGCTTATTATGAGTAGAAAATACTTACAAACTTTTTTACAAGATTTTTTTTATTAAATTTCAACACCTTGTATTTCGAAAATTATGCATTTTAGAGGGTAAGTTGATAGAAATTGTCTTTCAAATTTTTGGATAAGCTATCACATCCTGCATATATTATGAAACACCCCGTACATCATTAAAAAGCTTGAAACAATTCTAGTTCAATAAAAAAATAAAATATAGGTAGTTCCATTAAAAAAAACCTAAGTTGTAATTATAACTCAAAAACCGTGATAACTAGAAAAATTCTACGTGCACCATTGGATTCTACGTGAAAAAATCTATTAGAATCTGTTTCTACTTTTTCCGGATAGCCGAACTGGGGGAAAATTTGGTTTGCGCCATTGTAAGTTTCACAAAAAAGTAGCCCAGGTTCGCGAAAACCGCAACTCTTTATCTTTCATAATAAATGAGATACCCTGGTTTGGGTATGTCAGTTATTATGTTATTATCGAAATTTGGACACCTGTACAGGGTGTCCAAATTTCGATGGGTTTTTTGCAGGGTATCTCAGTTATTATGAAAGATAGAAAGTTGCGGCTTTCGCGAACCTGAGCTACTTTTTTGTGAAACTTACAATGGCGCAAACCAAATTTTCATAGCCATCTTCGTTTTTGATATACAGGGAGTGTTTGACATTTACGATTTTCAGATACCTCCTGTATCTCGGCTATCCGGAAACTTAGTAAAAAAGTAAAAACGGGTTCTAATAGATTTTTTCACGTAGAATCCAATGGTGCACGTAGAATTTTTCTAGTCATCACGGTTTTTGAGTTATAAACACAACTCAAATACTGAATACTCAACTTCTAAAATACTTAACTCTTTATAACTCAAAAACCGTGATGACTAGAAAAATTCTACGTGCACCATTGGATTCTACGTGAAAAAATCTATTAGAACCCGTTTTTACGTTTCCGGATAGCCGAGATACAGGAGGTGTCTGAAAATCGTAAATTTTGAAACACTCCCTGTATATCAAAAACGAAGAGGGCTATGAAGATTTGGTTTGCGCCATTGTAAGTTTCACAAAAAAGTAACTCAGGTTCGCGAAAGCCGCAACTTTCTATCTTTCATAATAACTGAGATACCCTGCAAACCCATCGAAATTTGGACACCTGTACAGTGTGTTCATATAATAAAAAAGAAAACATTATTTAAGGTTCATCAAATTTAAAAAAAGCAGCTGAAAAGGAAAACTTTAGATAAACTTTACAAAGAAGAAAAATTAAGGATAATACAAGGAAATAGTATATCATGTGTATCACAACTGTGTATGTCTAAAGATACTTAACCCAAATTTCTTAAAATTTCCTTTATTTAATTTCATTGTAATAAGCGACTACATCTAATTATCCCATCCAAAACTTCTTTCCACCGCGTCTTTCCATCTAGCATAACGAACATCTCGTTCGTTTTCTTTAAGTTTTGGAGGCCATGCTTGCAACGGAATATCCATCGGCGGCAAAACGTTCCAACAACCCATTGCTGCACCTGCACACATCGCCGCTCCAAGAGCTGTACTTTCCGCCATTTTCGGCTTTCCGATAGTCACCCCAGTTAAATCGGCTTGAAGTTGCATTAACATTGAATTAGTTGTCATTCCACCATCAACCTATAAAATTATTTATTAAATATTCATAATAAATTAGAAAAGATGCGTTTATTGCTTACTTGAAGATTTTTTAATTTAGCACCATAATCTTTATTCATAGCTTCAACAACATCTCGCACTTGAAAACAAACCGCTTCCAAAGAAGCTCGAACTATGTGCGATGATTCAGTATCTTCCGTAATTCCAACAATTACGCTAAGAAATAATAAAATTATTTTTAGTTTAAATTTAAGGCGAGAATGTTGATTTATTTAAAAAAATTATGTACCCTCTGGCGTCTTGTTGCCAATATGGAGCATAAAGTCCGCTAAAAGCCGGTACAAAATACACGTCTCCACCCTCGACTTCTTCCGCTTTGTCTACAAATTGTTGAACGTCGGAATAACTAGGTATAATGTTCAAATTGTCCCTTAACCAATGCAAAGCCGCACCTGCGATAGCGACTGACCCCTCTAAAGCGTAAACTGGGAGTGTTTTGGGACCTAATTGATAAGCTACGGTAGTTAACAAGCCATGTGAGCTATCCACTTTTATGGTTCCGGTGTTATAGAGCAGAAAGCAACCTGTGCCGTATGTGGCCTTAGCCTATAAAATCGCCAAGTTATATACCGGGTGTTTAAAAATTGTGTTCGATATTTTACCCACTTATAATTCTCGTCAAGATAAACAAAAAAGTCTTAGTAAACTTAGGTCCTAAAATCAATAATTGTTTCAGAGATATAGTTGATTTTACGTTGCTTTTCAATAAAGTTCACATCTAGTCGTTTAGTCGTGTTACCTATTGTAAAACGAAGGAGTTAGCTACTTTCGAAGATACAGCTCATGGATGAGGCCTGCATTCAAAAATTTTCCTCAAAGTCCGATGTCCACACATTTTATAACTTTCATAATAGAATAAAACTTATAACAGCAGAAGAGAAATTAAGGTACTATATTATAAATGAAAAAATACACTTAATTGCACTATGACGTCATACTAGTGCCATATCGTGCAGAGATATCGTTACACTGAATTACACTGCACTTATTGAACTTAATCGAAAGCAGGTGCAACAAAATCTGCACTAACTTATACCCGCTGCACGAAATTGCACTGCGCATGGCCCAACGAACAGTATGAGTGCAACTGCACTAAACTACACTATCCCCAACGAACACACAACATCTGCACTAAACTGCTTAGTGCAAGTGAGTGCAAGTAGTGCAGTTTTTTCAACGAACAAAGCTGCACTACTCTGGACGACATGAGCTTTGTTCGTTGAGACTGCACTACTTGCACTATATGGATTCAAAAATGTATTGAAACAAGGAAAGAGTTAGAATTAATTGGAACAGAAAGATTGACAAGTAATATAAGTGAAAATGCTAATAACAAATTCTGGAAACATGGAATGCGTTACCAGACACATTTAATTGTTTGAAGAAGCTGGCTAATGCTATTTTAACAATATTTTCATCAACCTATGCCTGCGAGTCATTATTTTCAGAGATGAATAACATTAACCCTTGGGTAGACGCGCCTCAATACGTAACGCCAATACACGAGCTGGGACTATCAGTCATATAGCAGAAAACAGCTCAATTTTTATATTATACATACTTTGAATTATAAATTAAATTGTTTTACAGCAAGTTGGTTTATTAAACTATTTTAAACCTGAAAATATTAGGGTCTAAAAAGGCAACTAATATCTAGCTTAAATCAACGTTAATATTTAATAATTTGTAAAACACATGGGTACGAACACATTTGTTGAATATCTTTATTTTATTTCGAATACGTTATTCGAATTCATTATACACGTGTCTTTCACTACTACCTTCAAGACAAATTGATTTAACGTGTTTTTTCAAACATATATAACTATTAAACTTTTCGATTCACTATTCACGATTCTATGTAACAAGCTTCGCATCGTTTCCTTTTGACAGATCTTCTACTTGTTCCAAGTTGATTGTTGTCGTCTGGTATTGTTGGTTTATGCTTTGCTAGCATGGTTTTCAGTTTATTTGGCAATGACTGAATAAGCGATCTCCTCGTCAATTGTTCTGAAACTAAACTGAGAGATAATTTTTTTAGATAGTCTCGTCTTGAAATATATTCGTTGCCATCGCCTAAATAAATAATTCTAGCATTTATCGCTGCTACATTCAATAAATGATAAAAGATGACCATCGGCCATCGCCTTGTTTCTCTAGCAACGTTGTACGTAGCGCACAATTTGTCCACTACATCCACTCCAGATTTTGTACTATTATAGTATTCTATAATTTCCGGTTTCCGTTGTCTATTAGTTGCCACTTCATTGCTTGACATATGCAAGCTGGATAGCAATACAACAGTCTTACCCTTCTTTGGCACGTAGGAGACAAGGGTTTCGTTTCTTGTGTAACCGAAAATGCTGTCGTACTGACGTCTGTGAAGTTAGCACTTCATTTTTTTAAAACTTCAAATTTCTCTTGAGTTCCCATTGCACCCCATTGAGTTCTATAGTTCTCTACCATTTTTATTAAAAGTTCCGCAAAAATAGGCAAAAACATCGATATCGACTTTTTGGGGTGCTAAGTTCACAAAACGAGATCACAAAATTTGCAATAACTATTAAACGAATGCACGTATCTAAAAACTTTATTAAAATATCTTTTAGAACTCGTGAGGTGCTATTCAGAACTCCTGCCAGAACTCCCGGAACACTTAAAATCGCGCACAGTTTCTTAAATATTAGTTTTACGGCTTTGGGCCTTAATCATTTTCGTTAGAACTCGTGAGGTGCTACCTAGAACTCCCATCAGAACTTCCGGAACTTTTCAAAATTTTCACCCCTCCGGGGCATTCACAAAATCTCAATGTGAACACTTGAAATAGCGCACAGTTTCTTAAATATTAGTTTTACCGCTTCGAGCCTTAATCATTTTCGTTAGAACTCGTGAGGTGCTGCCTAGAACTCCTATTTCTTAAATGTTAATGTTTAGATTGTCAATATTAGATGAAAATAAACCGAAATATTTAAGAAATTATAGAACTCAATGGGGTGCAATGGGAACTCAAGAGAAATTTGAAGTTTTAAAAAAATGAGGTGCTAATTTCACAGACGTGTCGTACTGTGCTCTACGTTTTGGCAAAGCAAAACTTGGTGGTAATTCTCTTTTGTTTTTTCGGACAGTTCCAACGTATGATATTTTCTTCTTTTCCAAAGCTTTTACAAGTTTCAAACTTGTAAACCAATTGTCTGCGGTAATGTTTCCTCCGCTTCCATAAATTGGCTCTGAAATTCGCATGACAATATCTTCCGCAGAATTACTTTTTTTGTAAGGTCCGTCAGATTGTTGGCCGCAATAGATCTCCATGTTGGCAGTATAAAAAAGCTTTGCGTCAGCAAGACAAAAGATTTTTATACCATATTTTGTTGGCTTTGACGGTATATATTACCGGAAACCACAACGACTACGAAATGCTGGAAGCATCTCATCAATAGTGACGTTTTCGCCTAAATTGTAATGTAATTTGCAGTTCTCAGTAAATAAAACAAATATTTCACCATTCATGGGATTCCCATCGGATACGTGCATGAATGCAACACAAAAACGGATCAATATATTTTTATTCTTATTTTTATATAAAATTGATACTTATTAGAAATACGCAACTAAACAATTTACTAACACGTAAATAAAAAGGAGATATCTAAACAATAAAACTACCGAATAAGTGCGTGAACTACCGGATCAACGTTCCCCGAAAAAAGGATAAATACACGCGCTGGGATTTTCAGTCCCAAATCATGTACGCGCGGCATTGTTTGAGTGTTTACAAAGTAATAAAACTGAGCCTTCGTTTGAAACTCATGTAAAGGGTTCCTAAAACATCATTTTGAGATCTCAAAAATCCTCAGCGCCGTAGCTGTAATAGTATTTACGTCATTATAGAAATGATAAGCCATGGGACTGCCAGTCCCATACGCGTCTATTCAAGGGTTAAAGACTTGGTTAGAAACTGTTTGACAGATAACTCTAGTTCAGCATACATTCTGCTAAAAGTAACATCTTACAACCCTAACATATCTTATTTGTCATCTAATCTGCAACATCAGAAGTCACACTAATTTTACTTTAATTTAAATTACGCGTATAATTGAAACATTGCAAAATATTCCTATTTTTTTGTATACTCTGTTTTTAAACCAGGAGGAGTATTTTAAATTTGTCACCAGATTGACCTTGCATGTGATTGGTTGAATGCGAGGAAGGTTCACACACAGGCAATTTTGAATTTTGATTTTGAATTTGAAGGTTTGGTTATTGATCGTTCGACCGTTTCGTGGCAAATTTTGTGTTCTTAAACCCTTCTTTATTATATTTTAAAATAAATACACTCATAACTTCAATGTCAATTTGTATGTTTAGTGTTGACGATAACAAACGAAAATAAATACAATAATAAGTAATAAAATAAATAATACCGTATTTTCTCGAATCTTATCCGCACTCGAATCTAATCCGCACCTCGATTTTAAAACTGCAATGATGGTAAAAAAAGTTGGTTTTCCAATGTAATCCACATCCGATTGTAATCCGCATTTGATTTTAGAGCATACAAAATTTGTAAAAAGGGTGCGGATTAGATTCGAGAAAATACGGTAATAATTATTAATTTAAATTTACCGCCAAAATATTTAGTGATATTTTCTGGTGATTGTTCTTAGTGTAAATCTGACTTTCGCGTTTACTCCTCCTGGTTTAAAAACAGAGTATAGTAAATAAAGAGTTTTGAGTTGATAGTATTTATTATTATTATTTTCCCAATAATCACAAAGTCAAAAATTTTTATGGCATGTCTATGACCACATTAAACATTTCTTTAGAAAAACGGCAAGTTGATACGTAAAGGTTCGCCATCCCTGATGTAGAGGATTTACTTTAAGCATTTTGTGTTCAGTTTTTATGTTCTGTTTGTATTTTCCCCAATTAAATAAACATTTGAAGACCAAAACGCTTCATTTGCTAATAACATTGGAATTGTTTATATCTTTGAAAGCACTGCTTTTAGGATCTAGGTTTACCAAGACTTTTTTGTGTATCTTGATGAGAATTATAAGTGGGCAAAATATCCAAACACAATTTTTAAATACCCAGTATACAGAGTACTTTGCTTAATAATTAGCATGTTAACAACAATACACATACACATAAAAAACAAAATAAAGTCACTTACTTGACCTCTTTGTAAACATTGTTGCCCAACCAAAGCAGCTTGCTGATCTCCCAAACACCCCGCAATAGGAATCCCTTTTAAAGGCCCATCAATAATATTTCCATAAACCTCAGAACTTGATTTAATTGTTGGTAAAACAGATATTGGAATATCGAAGAATTTAATTAAAACAGGATCCCATTTTAATGTTTCAATATTCATTAACATTGTACGAGAAGCGTTTGTGACATCCGTTACATGAATCCCACCATGTTTACCCCCCGTTAAGTTCCAAATAATCCAAGAATCAACGGTTCCAAATAAACAGCGCTGTTCCTGCATGGCTTTGGCTACTCTCGGGATGTTATCGTGTAACCATTTCACTTTAACGGCACTAAAATAAGGCGTTAAAGGCAATCCACATAAAGGTTTTAAGTAATTTTTATTTCTACTCTTATTTGGTACTGTATCTAATAATTGATCTACAGTTGTTGCAGTTCTCATATCCAACCAAACAATTGAATTGTGTAAAGGCTCACCCGTTGTCTTATCCCAGAGAATAGTTGATTCTCGTTGATTTGTAACACCCACGGCAATGATATCTTGGGCACATCCGCCCGATTCTTCCAATTTCTCTATCCCTTTTTGAATGCATGTGTACACGGCGTTCAATATTTCCATTGGATCTTGTTCCACCCATCCTTCTTGTGGGAATTTCTTCGTTAATTCTTCTTGATGAGATGCAACGACTTCCGTTGTACCTGCCTTGAAAAGTATAAATCGTGCACTTGATGTTCCTTCGTCTATAGCACCTATTAATCCACTCATTTTGTTTTTTAATGCGTTTACGTCGCTGTTACAGGTTTATATGTAAAAGTAAGTGGCAATTTTCTCATTTTTTTCGTTATCTAACATTTTAGACCTTCGAACGCTTGTTTTTAAGGTCATCCGTTTTTAAATTGCTGCGTTGGTAGGAATAAAAATGCACACGCAATAAATAGGTGTGTACTGCAAAAAGATATTTCTAAAAGTAAACGTTTCATGTTTTAAGTTCTAATTATATATTTAACTGCTAAAATTGATTTTTTTTAATCAAAAATTGTTTGTAATGTAACTTAACCTAAGATAACATCAGTCAGTTTTTAAAATATATTACAACAGATGGCGCTTATAAATGTCATAACAAAATCAAGCGGGAAATTTAAAACTAAGTTATTCTATTAATAACATTACGCAAAATTTCCTTTCTTTTTTCTCGTGGTACTCTGAAGAGTCGAAAGTCCTTCTTACTGCCATTTTTGCAACTCCACAGGCAACAAGACGGCAATATTTTTGTAAATAAGTGGTGACATGCAGTGACAAGCCATTCCGTCAAACCGCCATTTTGGCTCGAAAACAGACTTCATGAATCGCGGTACTTTGTAAATCTACATACTTTATCATAAGATATCACAGAATAATATTCTGTGATATTACACCAGGTTGGTTAGAGATGGCAAAACGCGATTTAAAGGGAAAAGAAAATTAACATTAGATTACTTTTTGGGATGAAAACTTAAAAAAGAGATGAGAATTCTAAGTTGAGAAAGACAAGTAACAAAATATTGCCTGGAAGAAATAGATAAGATGATTGTGAAAGTGTGGAATGATATTTGAAATTAGATTTGAGATGTATACTATATTTATGTAATAAAAAAAGGAACCTGTTTTAATTTATGGTGTTATTAAGGGGGTAGTAGTGAGTGTAACGGACTAAAAAATATAGTTTTTTATGGCTTTTTTTTAAAGAAAAACAACTTGATATAACAGATATCTGTTATATTACATATGAAAAATGATTGTCTTTTGATATTGATATTGGCTGGATGGCTGCTGCAAATTCAGCGGACATGGCAAGTTTATGTTTATAATTATTTAAATTTCCTGCTGTGTTAGCCTTCTGGCACGAACACCATGACTCCGCACCGATTGGACAATTATCATGTTGAGGTTTTCCGTCGGTAGAGCATTTATGTAAGATAGTTGCCCAAATACTTTTCTTCATATTTTCTACAGAATTAGTATTTCTGCGTATTGCTAAACCATAATATGTCGTGAGCTCTTTTATAAGGCTTGCAGTTAGTTTACCTTTATCTCCTAAGCACTTTACAGATTTTTTGCAATTTCGTAATCTTGTTCCCATACGTTTTTGCACGTGATTTACGCATTCCTTTTTTACAATATCTGGTGAAATCTGTTTTACTATTTGGCCATACGTTTTTGAATCGCCATCACCAATATAATTTATATATTTCTTTTTATACAATTCTTCAGCTCTTGAAAAAAATTCTATCATTGCATCGGGTTCCATTTTATCAGCCCGTATGATTAAGGCCCCGTTCACATGACAATGATCTGACGCGCGTTTTTTAAGCGCGCGCTTTGATATCCAATGTATTTAAATACAACCGTTCATATGAACGCGCGTCAGAATCTGACGTGCTGATTGGATATCAAAGCGCGCGCTTAAAAAACGCGCGTCAGATCATTGTCATGTGAACGGGGCCTTATGTCACATTCCTTCTTATGGTCTTCCATATGGTCTTCCAGCAATATTTGATACTCTAATAAATGTGATTTATTTTTCCACAAAGCACATGCCTTACAGTATCCTGACTAGACGCAAATATCATGCACTTTCTTAGAGTAATATCCTATGACTGTTACGATATGTTTAGGATTATTTTTATAATGTAGCGATAGGATATAATACCCTGTATCTTTGTTATTTTTTCGAATTTCTTGCTAAAAATTTAAACAGATAATCTTGAGATATGTACCTATTAAAATAAATGATTAAAAAAAAATCGATTTTTTTAGACCGCTACACTGTTCTACCCCCTTAAATCTTCTAAAAGGCTATAGATTAGTGGTGGAACGGATATCCGGCAACTATCTGGTATCCGGCCATTTTTTTAAATCCGGCCGGATAGCAGATAGTTACCAAATATCCGGCTTTGGCTCCGGCTATGTACTATGTATTACTTAGGCCCACTTAATAAATTTAACTGATAGATAAATTGGCGCTCTTAGCCAATGAGAGCGCTTAAAACCGCTGTAACCATGTTAATTATCTATCGGTTAAATTTATCAAGAGGTGGTAAAAGTGGGCCTTAGTACTCTACCATTCACAGGAATTAGTAACTCTTTTAAGTGTTGGACACTACAGATAATAAAGTTCAACCCCAATAGGACTTTTTTCATTGAATACAACTTTATTTATATTAGGTTTGTCTTTAGCAACCTCATTGTAACAATCCCAATACGATATATAAAATCTCTTGTTGCAGTTTCGTCTAGTTTCCTTCTCTTCGCTTGTCATCATCATTACCAAATCATTCACTACTCCATTTGATGATTAAATTCAATGATTATATTTTTATTTATATAAGTAACGATAATTTTTTGTTTTTTGATTTGTTTATTATTATTGGAGTGTTACTTTTGGTTTTGATTTTAATTTGTAATATTATTTTTTGTTATACTCAGTTTTTTTGTTATTAATATTTAGTTGAATATCTTGTGGATGCTTTGTTGGGGGTCAACCCTGTTTACATCCCGAATGAAAAATAAAAAAAAAAATCACATTCATTACTAACAGAACTGTCGCTGTTATCACTTTCAATTATTAATTAAAGTATCCTCTTCTTAACGCAAAAAGCCGTTTTGGAAAATCACTTTTAGTTCTTGACAAATACATTTTTGAAATAATCGACAATTTTTTTGAATTTTGCCGATTCAGTTTTAAAAATTCGTATAAAATCCGGTTCTTGGAATATGAGTACGAAAATTTCCCAAACCGGATATCCAGCCGAAGGGGATGCCGAATATCGGGCTTTTCGCAAAATCACTATCCGTTCCATCACTACTTTTTGAGATAAAAACTTAAGAAAGAGATGAGAATTCTAAGTTGAGAAGAACAAGTAACAAAATGTTGCTTGGTAGAAATAGATAAGATGAGGATGTGCCATTTTGATATCATTGTAATTAATAATATATTATTGATGTATTCATATATTATACAACAAGACGATCGAAAATACTCGATAATACGAGACGTATTGCCTGAAACACCACGAGACCGAAGGTCGAGTGGTGTTTTTTAAGGCAATACGTCGAGATTCGAGCATTTTCGATTGTCGTGTTGTATATGGCTAGACTATTTCATGATTAAAAAATATACATATTTTTAGAATTTTTATATTTTTTTTAATAAATTACATTGATTGTTATGGAAACATGCATGGATGTCTCGAAATTAATTAAATGTCAAACAAGCGATAATACAAAGGTTCGTATTATCGTTCTCCATGGTTACGGCCAAATAACCGCTGAAATACTCGCAATTGACGGAAAACCGCGAATTCTTATTGGCGTTAACGATATGAATGAAATAGTCAAAAATATTTGATGTTATTGTGAAAGTGTGGAATGATATTTGAAATTAGATTTGAGATATATACAACACGCTCAGGTGTTCTTTACGCTGCGTGATCTCTCGAATACAACGAATCCTGAAAGCGTAAGGTTTTTGGGATTCCCCTCAACATCGACATGTTGAGGGGAAACGTATCCCAGGACGTTTTGCGCGTTACGTATTTTTCCCTCTACCAAGCTACTATGACTTATGCGTTGCTTGCGTGGGACGGTGCGAGCATGTGCGATAGTATTTTCAAACTACAGCGCAGAGCTATCAGAATTCTTGACAATTTGAAATATAGTGAAGAATGTAAAGGCTCTTTCATTAAACTAAATATTTTGACATTTCCATGCCTCTATATTTTGGAATGCGCTGTATATGCAAGGCATTGTATATGCAAGGCATTGTATAAGCAAGTGTGAAACAAATGGAGATGCTCACAGTTACAACACTCGTAACAAAGACTTACTTCTACTACAACACTGTAGATTGTCCAGGAGCCAGAAAAGTTTTAACTACATTGCCCCAAAGTTATTTAATAAATTGCCAAAAACTGTACAGATGCTCCCGGCTGCTAGATACAAAAATTACTTGAAGAGCTTCTTGTCAAGGCGCGCTTTCTATTCGATTGAAGAATTTTTATCATGTGACATGACAGACGAGTCTGTAATGAGTGCATAAATTCATGAATATATATGTTTACATGAAATGTTAATGTGTTTATTTTTTTAATATGTTTATATAACATGTTTGATAATATGTTTCTTTTTTCCCCGTTTTGAACTTTTATTGTATTTTATCATTTTATTGCGCCTTTTCTCGCTTTTTTTTTGACATGTGTAAGTATTGTAAAGTATTTATAGCACAAATAAACTATTCTATTCTAATACAAAATGGCCAAAGATAAAGTGGGAAGTTAATGTAGAAAAGATTGTGTACAACCGACGAAATATACAAGAAGTAAGCAACATGGTAAAAATCAGAAACAACTTTAGAAGATTGCACTGTTTTTATGATTTTCTTTACAACATTTATTTACATTTCTTCTTCCTCAGCCAATATTCATCTACTGCTGGACATAAGGCTCTTCCAAATGTATCCCAAAATTTATTTCTGTCTTTTGCTGTTCTTATCCATTCTTATCCCGCCACACCCTTGACATCATCGATTCATCTCTTTTGCGATCTCTTCTAATTTCTCGTGGTCTCCAAAAGTTTATGTTTTTTGTTAATTTTTCTGCGTTTTCTTTTGCCATATGCCCGACCAATTGCCACTTAAGCCTTGCTACTCTAGTCATAATATCTGTCACTTGTGTTTTTCTGCAAATATCGCTATTTTGAATCTTGTCTCTAAGAGTGACACTCAGCAATACTCGTTCCATCGCTCTTTGGGATACACTAAGTTATTCTGCAGTTTTCCTTGTCAAGTCCATGGTTTCAAGTCCATATGTAATCACTAGCAGTATGCAGCTATCCTTGTTTTTCAGTACAAAACTGAGTTTTCCAAACGCCGTCCTTGATGGTTGAATCCATCGTTTTATTTTGGCTGTTTGATTTTCTTTAGCAATTTTAATAGTGTGAAAGATATTTGTACAGGTTTACATCCTCTAAAGAGATATTGTCAATGGCAACATCATAATGCGTGTTGCTCATTATTTTGGCTTTATGCAGGATCATTTTAGCCCTATTTTCTTTGAGTGTTCGTTTAGATCTTGTAACATGTTTAACCTTCTTACCAACTTTGTTTTTTTAAAGGTTTACATTAACTTATTTTACCCAGAACTGATAAATGGGAATACAATGTAGAAAGTGTACATCAGATACAAAATATACAAGGAGCATAGGACGGAACAGCAATAATTTTAGAAGGAATGATTAACATTACATGTATGAAGGTAGATGATGGCGTTGGAGGAAACTAACACATATTATTGAATTAAAAATGTAATGGGAAAGTTCAAATACTATTTAAGGGAATTAAAATTTTTAAATCATACATAAACATAAAGATAAATGAAGTAAATTTTTAATCAAGTAATTCTTATTATTAACAATACTGACAAGATAACGCATTTGCTTTGTATCTATTTATATACAAAAAAAAATAGACATTTAACTATAAATAAAGTCAGGAAAGTTGTTTATTTTACTTACAAATAATGTGTAAACATTATTGTTTAGAGCGTTACATTAAAGAAAACATAGATATAAAACAAATTTAAAAATATTCTCAACATTTTTTAAAAAAATACAAAAAAAAGAGTCAAAAATCTTTTAATCACCTTCAATGTGGAGCGGCGGTACATTATCGACGATATCACTTTGTTGTGCATACTCTAACCCCTCCATAAAACTCAAGTGGAATGTTTCTGCGTCATTTTCATTTGAAAACGATGCTTGTAAAGTTCTCCATTCGAATATTTGATTGGCCCATTCAACAGCTCTCCAAGAACAATTTGTATCATTAATCTGATTAAAATAATAAAGCAAATTAAAATTCATTTTCATTAATTATTAAGGAAACTTACAGTCATAACTGTATTCATTCCAATCATGGTGTTACTAAGCTCTACGTCATCTTGGGTAAAGTGAATTCTGGCCCCAAAGATTTCATGGTCGTAAGAAACAGTTATATCACCACTTCCAAGGGGTATCCATTTCCCAGACGAGTCTTGTTCCGATAAATCGCATTTATTCCGGAACATTATTGAACTATAACAAATGTTAAAAAGTACATTTTAATAGTAATAACTAAACAGCGAGGGATTGAAACCTAAAAATTCACTAATCAAACATTCTCCAAAACATACCACATAAACTGGACCTACCTTCAAACATTCACAAAATTTCTGATTCACCTACTTACGTCGCTAAATAATCATTCTTAACTCATGTAACTGTGGGGTAGAAAAATATTTATATTAATTAAAAATTGTTTAAAACGGGAACAAATATCAAGAAAATGTAAACCAAAAATGCTATAATAATATATTTTATGAAATACGCTTACAAGAAGTATTAACATTGAATTAACTGCTTAAACTAAAAACCTAAACAACCTGACCTCTTATTCGTCAAAAAACGACCATGCATCACTCCAACTCTGCAGTCGAGTTTACTTTAATCCCGTCTAAATATTACAATCATTCAATAAAGATAATAATAAAATAAAGAAAATTGTTTCAACTTACCGTTCTTCATCCTCATCATAATCATCTTCGTCATTACTTTCGGTGTGTTGTTCTTCTTCATATCCACCGCTATCTTCAACAAATCCCGTAACAGTCGTCGGAATATTCTTGTTGACTTGATTTTCTTTGACCGAATCTATGGCTTTCTGAACTACTTCACGAAACGTTTGCGACAATTTGCATGTTTTGAATTTTACCGCTAAATTTTCAAGATTTTTTCCGTCGTCGGTGAAATTGTATCCAAACCAACACCACGCAACATCTGATGTAGACATTGGTTGTGGATCCAAGTCGGTTGTTATTAATTGATTAAGGACTACTTTATGAACTTGTTCTCGTCTCAATAATAAACGATAAGTACCTGTTTAAATAAGTATCATTTTAAATAAAAATTAACAAGTGTCATAATTTCCTCGTTGATTTCGATGAAATTTGGTACAGCCATAGACTGGACCAAAATACAGTGTGTTAATTAATTATCGTACCCGACGTCATCATTACAAGTATGCAACCAATATCACAGTAATGGTATTGTAATACGCGAT